TTATCCCTTTCGGATCTTGCATCACTCAGTTAAATTTTTCATCTTCGCATACTTTGAGATGAAATTCAGCAATAAATCGTTAAAAATACATATGAAGGCCTTGAATTTTATCGGATGATAATTTTATCGGATCGATTTAATAATTTTCAGTTTATTTTTAAATTAAAATTTTGTTCATATAATAATATTTATATTAAGAAATTTATTAGTTTCATAATATTCGAGACTTTTTAAATCAAAACGTTGTTAACTTAAAGATTTTTTTAATTTAGATTTATTTTTAGTCAGATATCTATATTTTTAATTTTGAATAAACGCGACATTTGTTCATATATTAATGGAATTATTATTATTATTATTATTATTGATAATTATTATAATTGGTAAATGTTCATATTAATATTTAGTTTAATTTCATTAATATGATGGTTCCTTCACGATGCGTTTATGTTTCGCGTATCGTACAAAAGCGTAAAATCTTACACTTATTGCCAACGATGACAGTCGGCAGCAGTCGGAGTATTTTTCATTGTTGTCGATTTCTTCGGAATAAATTAATTCTTTAATAAAAGAATATATAATGTATCATTTATAACATCTAAAAATGTGACCGATGTTTTGACTTTCTTTATCATATTTGATGTATTACTTTTTTATTAGATTAAAATAACTTGATTAAATGATTCATAAGTAAATCAATATCTGAAGATCATATAAAAACAAAATATTTATCACAAAAGACAAAACAATAACACGGTGTTTAAGAGCCACTTGAAGGCAAGAGATTAGGTGATGTATATACGGCTCGCGGTGCCGTATATGCAAAGGGTGCACCTATATTATCATTTTTATTATAATTTGAATAGTATTTATAATTGTATAATTATATTTTTATAATTTTATTTTTTATTACATATAAAATATATATATGTTTTATTAAAAAGTGTACATATGATGATTATGTACTTTATCTACATACCTGTGTATTTTTTATTCAATTACTGTTATTAATAAAATAATGTAGGCACGTATTATGAGTATATTTATTCAATAAAATGTTAATAAATAATTTAAACTGCAGAATACACTGAGATTAACATTCATTAGAATTTGAATAATATTGTGTATGTCTAAAAGTACATATCGTAGTCCGTTAAATTCAACTGAAAAATATTAAATAAACCTTTAT